TCAAGTAGATACACTATCCTAGGAGAGTAGAATAAAAAAGACTTGTTGCCAAAAAAAAAAAAAAAAACAAAACCAAAAACCATAATACAATAATGCTGAATGAGAATCATATATCTGAAAGGGGCACAAAATTAGTGATGGCCCAGGGGTTTAATAGCAGAGGGATTTCTTTTGGTGCTCAGTTTATAAAAGAGCAAATTTTAGAAACCACATGGCCTTGTAACAAGAAATAAGAAAACCACCTTTTCAGGAAGGATGAAAAATAGTTATTTAAAAAATCATATTCTTTTAAAATATTTTAAAAAATAAAAGCCAAAGAGGAGCAACTATTTTGATTTGGTAAAGAAAAATCCACCAACAGGATGGATAATCAACAACTTTGTTGTCAAACACTGCAAAAAAATATTTGTTTTTGCAAAAATTGAAACAGTTATTTGTCAATCACTATTTACTATAAACTCTGCTGTGCTGATCAAAGGGCTAGAAGTGTGCAATCCTGCATTGGAGGTATGTAAGAGGCTGGAATTTCACCTGAGACATCGTTCCAATGTTTTTGAATCAAGAGTCTAAGCAAACTTTGCAGTGTTTCATGTTTCCTTAATTTTCAGTATCAACTTTTCTATTTTCTCTTGCTGATTGGAAACCAGATCTGTTTCAAAGCTGAACTCAGTGTATCTCCATAAAGATTTCACATTGGGTGAAGTCCTTTTAGAGCCAAAATCTAATGCTTGTGCTGGGAACTGTATGTACTGTATTTTGTGCACAGAATAAGAAAGATTTCAAGCACAACATGGGGAAAATTTAGGGAATTTGGGATAACTATGCCACGAGGTGGAGGTCTGACATCATTGAATCATGTGGAACAGACAAGAAAACTGAGATGATGTTTAGGGCTACTTGTCCTCTTACAGTAATTATGAAATCAGATCGAACAAGCAGGGAGACATCAATGCTAGTTCTAGGCCAGCTGGTAGTGGTTGTCCTACCCTTATTACATTTGCTAGCAGCCATCAGGGGGCTCTCAAGGTGCAAATAATTGTAGGCCACATGCCGGTGGAAGCATTTGATGGGTTCACTCTTAGTTATTGCTGGCAAAGGACAGTAACCGTGAAGAAGCAAACCAAGAAAAGATTATTTCTTTCCCCTTTTGTGTAAGGTTTTAAGGATTCTTGTCTTACTTGGCTCCATCCTGAGTTTGTAAATAATGGTCGCAATTTCAGGGGGAAAAGGTAGGAAGAAGGTAGAAGGAGAGATTGTAGCATTGTCTGCACTGTGTGTTTTGGAATGTCCCTGTCTAAGCTGTGCTGGGAAGTTTGGTGTTGGGCTGATGGCTAAGCAGTGTGACAAGACATCATGGGTGATGCAGTCTTGTCCACTACAGGCTGGGGCATGGTTTGCAGTCCTGCTGCTGCAGAGGGGCAGCCCTTCCTCCTACCTGCATCAGTATGTCATCAGCCTGTTCTTGCAGCAGCACTGCTCTGGGGCAAAGCTCTGACCCAACCACTGTTGGAAGGCAGCTCCTCAGACAAGTTACTGCCCCCCTGCATCTCCTGCAGAAGCTTGCTGGCTGTCCTGCACCAGCCAGGACTGACCACAGAGGGCATATTCCAGAAAGCTGGCAGTGAGAGAGCCCTTCAGAAGCTGCAGGAGGCCCCGGACCACAGCACAGATGTCGATATGGGAAGCCAGCCTGCACTGCAGTTGGCTGTCATCCTCAAGGTGACTGATTCTAATCTGCAGCTGGAAGGGTTCCTGGCTAGGCTGGAATCTTCAAAGGTTCACAAGGATACCCTGGCATTGCAAGGCTTCCTCTGAGGCACTCCCTTGAAGCTCCTCATCAGGGACCTCTGTGAGGACTGGATGGCAGCAATGCAGACAGCCAGCAGGGAGGAAGAGATCTGTGACCTGCAAGTGTCATAGGCAGCATGGGCAGAAGCTTGCCTCTTGTGCAGGGACTGGGAGAAGCCTGGAACTTGCCTGAAAGGGGGTGGTCTCCTTAAAACACTGTGGTTTTGCGCAGCTTGCTGTTGCAGGTTTGGGGTCAGATTTTGGGGGAATGGACAGGGAGCCTTTGTGTGGGCTTGTGTGATAGCAGGAAATGGGAGGCAATGACATGCTTCCTTCCTCAAGCACAGGAGTCCTGACTGCTGGCTGAGAGCACTTGGAAAACTGCACAACACAGCTGCTGGCTGTCCCTTCCCCTGTGCGAGTTTTGGGAGTGGCTGTGGGCAATATTTGCTTGATGAACGTTGCCTTGCTGTCCACTCAGGGTGGACAAGAAGTTGTCTGCAGAAAACTTCCTCCTCCTCAAGCAGCTGCTTGCAGTGCTCTGACATATTGGCCAGCACCTGCCCACCAGCAGAATGACCTCCAGCAGCCTGGCCGTCTGCCTGAAGCCAAACTTGCTGAGCCTGCTCAAGGAGGACCTGCTCAAGGTCATGCTAGTGGTGACTGAGAAGGTAAAGCTGCCTTGAGCAGCCAGGTGCAGCCTCCCCAGCCCACCCGAGCCGGCCGCCCAGAGTGCCTTGGCAGCCCCTTCTATTCAACAAATGCTGGTGGAGTAGCTGCCTGGAAGAGCTGCCCCACAGCCACAGCCTTCTATGCAGAAGCAAGGCTCAGGAGTCATGCCTGACATGCTTTCAGGCACCTGGGCTGAGACCAAGACTTTGATGTGTGCAGCTGACAGTGCTGGAGAAGTTCATGATGGAAGACTTTGATGAGATCTTCGGGGAGGAGTTGGCTGAGACAACCAAGCATCTTGATAAGTGAGCTGTGCATGGAAACGTACCCTTGGGGTGGCTCTAGGACAGGTGCTAAGGCCTTGAGAACTGGAAGGCTGTCCTTCTCAAAGGGCCTGGGCGTTTCTTCCTACACTCCCAGGACAGCTCGTGAACATGGCATCTCCATTTTGCAGTGTGTGACACCTTTTGGTAATACCAGAACCAGTCTTGGGGAGCATCTTCTCATTCTTATCTGACCCCAAACTTCAGGATGGCATACCCTAACATTGTGTTTAAAGTTACCTGTGCTATTTATTTTGAAGAAACACCAGAAACAAAAAGATGAGGTGCTAAATGTTATGACTTTTCCTTCCTCAACTGCTTTTATTCATTTTTTTCTTTTCTCCAACAAAAGGATCTCCCAATATACAAACTGTATGTGTCTGAAAACAGTTTCCTAAGTTTTAAAAATTACTGTGTAATATTTTTCCTGTGCTTCGGGTTTTTCATTTTGGTTGATTGGTTTTGATTTAGGTTTCACTTTAGTTTGGTTTTGTTGTTTATTCATTTATTTGAAACCTACCTGTATTGTTCATGGGAACTATGCATCTGGTATTACATACTCTTTCTATCCATAATTTGCTCTGTGTTTCCATTTCTTCCTTCTATCCTTTTACAATCCTCATTTTTACCTTAATGCATAGGTCCTTTCCCCCTCACTCCCCTTTCTGATTAAACTGAACTCTAATTCTGTCAAGGAGACTTTCCTGTCTGACCATTCAGAAGCCACCCTGGCAGTCACGCTCCTACCACCAGAGACTTTAACTCCTAGGACAAAAGTCCCTTTGCTGTTAAGCAGAAATTGTAGAGAGCCAATCTTCCACTTGTGACTCCTCTAAAAGCATCACTGCGGTGCTTTTTCAGAACCTTTTTCAGGGTCCTGGCTACATCCTGCGTGAAAAGGCACTGCTATAATGACCCAGATGCAATGGCCTCTTGCAGTGCTGGGGAAAGTCCAGTGGCTGAGGACCTCTCTGGGTGATACTGGGACCCCTGTGGAGAGCAGCCTCTGACATGCTGTGTTGGTCTGAGTACCACAGGGGTGGACATCTTATTGTGATGTCACAAAGTAGTGGAGGCTGATGTCACTGGCAGTGGACTGTGACATCACCAGATTAGATTGTCACCATGTGTCCCTTACTGCTTAAATTAGGGTGCTGGCAGAGCCTGGCCTGCTCTGGCTTATGCCTGGACTCCTGTTGAACATGGCCGTGAGTGTTGAGCCAGGCTTTTCTCACAGCTGGGTGCTGCCACTGGCAGCTCTCAGTGCCCAACCTGGAGCCACCAGTAGTGTTGAGTTTCTCGGCTCAGGCCTGAGTCGCCAAGCCTGAGTTGCTTGGCTCAGGCAACTAAGCATCTTGATAAGTGAGCTGTGCATGGAAACGTACCCTTGGGGTGGCTCTAGGACAGGTGCTAAGGCCTTGAGAACTGGAAGGCTGTCCTTCTCGAGGGGCCTGGGCATTTCTTCCTACGCTCCCCAGGACAGATTGTGACCACAGCATCTCCATTTTGCAGTGTATGACACCTTTTGGTAATACCAGAACCAGTCATGGGGAGCATCTTCTCATTCTTATCTGACCCCAAACTTCAGGAAGGCACAGACAAGGCCACAGAAACAGAGTGGAACTGCCCCATCTGCCGTGATACTCGAGATGACCTTGCTTATGTAATGCCCTGTCTCCACCAGTTCTGCCTGGGCTGCATTATGCGTTGGGCAGAGATGCAAATAGTGTGCCCACTCTGCAGAGACCTGATAGAGTCTGTCAGGTTTTCTGTGCAGACAGATAGCTATATAGACTGTGTCTTCACAGCCCCCGAAGATGCCAGCAGCTGGGCAGGAATAACTCTTGGACAGCTGGTTAGAAACAACCCCTATCACTTTGCAGCATCCCCTTCACGTTCTCCACGGGGGACATTGCCAGCAGCTGAGCCAGGGGGTGCAGGAACAGAGCTCGTGGGTGGTCTCCTGCCTAGGGTGTGGGCAGAACTTTTCCGAAGAGACGAGCATCTCCTTGATCCTGTGGTGCCCTGGCTGCGGCAGGAGCTGGAGGAAATATATGGGACCAGGTGGTGGATGGCGAGGATTGCAGAGAGCATCATCCTGCATGCTGTGTCCATCTGTGGTCCAGTTGCGAATATCTTGGTCCAGGTGCTGCGGGACTTCCTCGAGGAACATACAGAACCTCTGATTCATGGCACCATCAGCATCATTGTTGACCAGTGCAGTGAGGAGGCTCACAGGCTGCTGCACTCCCCTGCTGTCCCAGAGGAGGACAGCAGCTCTGTGGCCACCGTCAGCAGCACCCAGCGCGGTACTCCCGCCCCCCATTCAACCCCTGCCAGAAGCTCTACAAGCTCCAGCATAACGCAAGCTGCTCTCGGCAGCCCCCACCCGTCTGCTCCCGTCCCTACAGACCAGGAAGAGCTGCTGGAGGCGGCGAGGGCAGAGGAGGAGGAGTTGGGGGAGGGAGAGGAGCTGTGGGAGCAGGAGGAGCTCGGGGAAGAGGCGGGGGAACCTGGCAGAGTGGAGGAAAATAACTTTGAGGGCATCCCCGGCATCCATCAGGGGGGTATTCCCGCCCTCCACCCAGCCCCTGGCAACAGCCCTGTAGGCTCCAACGTAGAGGACCGACTCAGCACATCGGAACCTGTGCTCCACAGCCCCCACCCCCCTGTTCCCGTTCCTGCAGAGCAGGAGGAGTTGGAGCAGGCAGCAGCGGCAGGTCCCTCTGCCCAAGGCGGCAGCCACAGCCCCTCCACTCCCAGCCGGGGCCGGGACGGGGACCCTTTCCGCAGGAGGCCTCGGCGTGCCCCAAGGAGGAGAGCTGCCAGTTTCTCGGACTCTCCCCAGCCCTCCGAGAGGCCACCCCATCCGCAGCACTAGCAGGGCTTCATTCAAGAGAAAGGAAATATATTGCTATTTCCCTTACAAAGTCTCTGGGTGCTGCTTTCTCTACCTTCTCCTGGTGTCTTTCCCTGACCCTTCACCCCACCATGAGCCAAGGCCACCTGGAGCCCCGGGACGCTATTGCCAGTGCTCCTCCCACAGGAATTCCTGCTGCAACTGCAACAATGGAGGAGTTTCTGGAAAAGCCTGAAGGGGGAGGATTGCATTTGCAAAGGAGAACATGCCAAATCGAGGCTGCTGGTGCCTGTGCCCAGATGGAATTGCTGTGTTGCTCCCTGCATTGCCATTCTCTACTGCCAAAGGGACAGGAGGGGCCTAGCAGCCCCCTGGTCAGAAGAGTTTCTGGGAAAACAGGTTGAGGGGGGAGTGGTCCTGCCAGCCAGTCATGACATGCCATGAGACTGAAAGAGTAGTGTCCTTTCCAGGGTACATGGCACTGGGGCTTCAGAGCACAAGTTCTCTGCATCCAAACACCACTTTGTAGGGATAACCAGAGCTCTGTGGCTGATCACAGCACTCTCTCAGAGCAGATTTGCTCTGACAAAAGTAAATCGTGGGCGTGATGCTCCGTGAAAAGCTACAGTCTCATGAAGGGATTGCTTCATTGAAGACACTCCTCAGCTGAGCCCTTGACTGATCCTTAGGAACTGTCCAGTGGCCTTCTTGGTAGACAGGTTATACATTTAAGAAAGAGAGAAACTTTTAGAAGTGAAAAAGCAGGGATTTTGCAAGGTAAACTACATGAAGAAGACAGCCACGATCAGAAAGGGTAAAGGAGCACTAGCAGAAGCGTATGCAACTAAGGCCGTCATGTATAGCATGACAACTTACTACTGCCTCCAAAAAAACCCAACAGTACCTCTAATCTTTTGTATGCACGCAGTGAAGAACTAGAATACGCAGTCTCAGATACTGGAATACTAGCAGCCCTTCAGAGCAGACTAGATTTCACAGAAACCACAGGGGGTTAAGTGAAATTCATCTATCAAAGCAGGAAAAGGAAAATAAATATTCATTTCCACATATCTTAATTAAGCCCTGCACTGTTGTCTTTAGATGCTTTCATTATTCTTCATAGCAATCAAGACTGCACCAGCCCAAAATTCTATCTTTTCCATCATGATGAATGAGTCATACATGTATCCCTTAATGAGTGTCTTCAGCATTATAGTTGTTTCTCATACTCTTTTGAATCCGTTTGCTCAATGTCTACTCAGAGTTGTGTGTAGCCAACTGGGGAGAGCAGCAAGTTGTTCTCTAGGTGTAGAAGAGCCATATGGATTACATGATGCCGGCTGAAACACAGCTTCCAACATGACAAGGCCATGGCCTCTGCTCACCGTGAACACAAGAGGGTGCTCATTACTTTGTGGAGAAATTTGCTTTTGAAAATACTGTGTTCCTGTTTTGGAATGGGAGATCTAGAGCGAAGTCTTCTGTCCTAATGAACTATGAGCTGAAAACTGAAGAAGCATGATGAACCGAAACATGTTGCCTGAAACCTCTGATGGTACTAATCAAATAAGCTTCCTTAACAGTTGAACTTGAAGATACAGATAGATATTATGCTTTACTGTTTGCATTTCTTTACCTTCTTTCTTTACCTTCTTTAAGGAGAGTAGCATTAAAAAATTATGCACTATGATTGTGCTGTTGTAGCATCACTGTGGCAGGAACTAGATATTTGGATGAAGTTGCTGCAGATTTCTCCTGGGTGATACTTCTGCAAAGCCATTGCAGCTCAAAAATAATGCTGGGGACCCTTCATGCCCCTAGAACTGTCAATGAGATTTTCTACTCCCTTTTGAACCCGGTTAGTTATCTCATTATGACATTATGCTCACCCAGGCACAGCTGATGAATCTGCTGATGAGTTCTTGTCTCCTGTTTTAAAAATACACCAGAAGCATGAAACAATGGAGTGTGCCTGGTGTGTCTGTATTTGTTGGGGATTGTTGTGGTTTAACTCAAGCCAGTAACCAAGAGCCATCCAACCACTTGCTCACTCTCCCCCAGCAGGATGAAGGAGAGAATTGAAAGGGTAAAAGCTCGAAAACCCGTGAGTTGAGATAAAGAAAGTTTAACAGGGAAAGCAAAAGCACACAAACAAAGCAAATTAAGGAATTCATTCACCACTACCCATCGGCAGGCAGATATTCAGCCAACTCCAGGAAAGCAGGGTAACTAACTTGGGAAGACAAATGCCATCACTCCAAACTTTCTCCCCTACCTTCTTCTCCCTACTTCATACACCAACCATGATGTCATATGGTGTAGAACATATATTTGGTCAGCAGGGGTGAGCTTTCCCAGCTGTGTCCCTGTAATGTGCTCTCTGCAGAAACTGACTAAGAAGAAAGTTGTTTGCCAATGGACCAAGCAGCAAAAAGAATGGCAGCAACCTTTGATGCCTGCAAAAATGCTTTGATTGAACATGCCCAACTGCACACTCCTAAGCAAGGATATTGTTTTGAAACAGAAGTAATAATTCTAGATGATGTAGTCTCATGGGGTTGTGACACACAGCTGGGCCAAAAAATCAGAAAGAACCTGTAGGATTTTGATCTAAAGCATTACAAGGCTCTGCTACACATTATACCTGGATTGAAAACAAATTCTAGGTGTAGTTTGATCAGAAGAGACAGAGGGGTGTCACTGTATGTAATAGCAGGGTTAGAATGTTTGGAGCCCACAGTTGGCAGTGTCACAGTTGGGAGCCTCTGAGTAAGAATCAAGGGGCGAACAAATAATGCAGCTATATTGTGGGATTCTGCCATAGACCTCTCAGCCAGGATGATGATAGACAGAATTATTCTTTGAGGAACTAAGGGACAGTTCCAAATCAACTGCCCTCGTCCTCATGGGGGACTTCAACTTTCCAGAAATTAATGGAGAGCATCACACAGCTGGTACAACCTGGGCCAGAAGATTCCTAAAAGACCTGGATGACAGCTTTATGGAATAGGTCCTAAAGGACCCAGCTCGGAAAGATGCCCTCCTTGATCTGCTGCTTGTCAACAGAGGGGATCTTGTGAGTGAAGTGGAGGCTGGTGGCTGTCTTGGCCACAGTGACCATGAAGTGATCGAGTTTAAATTTTCTGTTGACAGGAGGAAAAGTGCCACCAAAACCTCAACTCTGGACATGAGGAGAGCAGAATTCAGGCTGCTAAGGGAATTAGTAAGTAAGGTCCCCTGGAAAAATGTTTTTGCAGCTCCATCAGTGCTGGTCACTTTTCAAACGACTCCTAAGGGCACAGGAGCAGGCAATTCCCAAATGTTGGAAGTCAAGCAGCTGAGGCAGAAGACCAGCTTGGCTGAGCAGAGATCTTCTCTTGGAAATAAGGCTAAAAAGGAAGGCGTATGCCCACTGCAAACAAGGTCAAGAGACATGAGAAGAACACAGAGATGCTACTTGCTGCTGTAGGGAGAAAATTCATGCAGTCAAAGCTCAGCTGGAGTTGCAGCTGGCCAGAAATGTGGGGAACAATAAAAAGAGTTTTTTTCAAATATAGTAATGGCAATAGACAGCATAGAAATATTGTTGTCTCATTACAAGATGAGGATGGTCACCTCCCAAACAGGGACAGAGACAAGGCAGAGGTATTTAACACTTTCTTTGCCTCTGTCTTTAACACAGATGACAGATCAAGGGGGTCTCAGTGCCCTAAGCTGAGGGACCATGCGAGAATGATCAACTCCCAGTCAACCCTGAAATTGTGCAGGATCTCCTGATCCAGCTGAATCCCTGCGAATCCATGGGGCCTGATGGGATTCATCCCAGAATTCTCAAAGATCTGGCTGATGTCTTTGTGAAACCATTCTCAATGATTTTTGAGTGGTCTTGGGAATCCAGAGAGGTCCCAGCTGACTGGAAGCTGTCCTGATTCTCAAAAATGACAAGAAGGAGGACCCTGAAAACTACAGGCCTGTCAGTCTCACTTCAGTGCCTAGTATAAAGTTATAGAGAAGAATTTTCTGGAAAGTATTGAAAAACACCTGAAAGACAATGCAGTCATTGGTCACAGCCAGCACAGCTTCAGGAGAGGAAAGTCCTGCTTATCAAACCTTATTTCCTTTTATGACAAGGTAACCCACACAATTGATCAGGAGAAGCCAGTTAATCTAATCCTTTTGGATTTCAGTAAAACTTTTGATACTGTCTCTCACAGGATCCTCCAGGACAAAATGTCCAGTCCAGAGCTGGATAAACACATCATGTGGTGGGTGAGCAATTGGCTCATGGGTCAAGCACAGAGGGTAATAATAACTGGGGTAACATCAGACTGGTGACCTGTCACTAGTGGGGTTCCACAGGGCTCCATCCTTGGCCCAGTGCTCTTCGGCATCTTCATAAATGACTTGGATGCAGGACTGGAAGGGATACTAAGCAAGTTTCCAGATGACATAGAACTGGGAGGAGCTGTTCACTCCCTTCAAGGTAGGGAGGCCCTGCAGAAAGACCTTGACAAATCAGAAAACTGACCAATCACCAACCATAGGAAGTTCAACACGGGAAAGTGTCAGATTTTCCACCTGGAATGGGACAATCCTGGATGTTTGTACAGACTGGGAATGAGATACCGGAAAGCAGAAAGGGACCTGGGTGTCCTGGTTGATGGCAAGTTGAATAAGAGTCAGCAGTGACCTGGCAGCCAGGAGGGCCAACTGTGTCCGGGGGGGCATCAGGCAAAGCATCGTCAACTGGCTGAGGGAGGTGATTGTCCTGCTGTGCTCTGCACTCATGTGGCCTCACCTTGAATATTGTGCACAGTTTTGGGCACTGCAATGTAAAAAAGATACTAAACTATTAGAGAGCATCCAAAGGAGGGCCATGGGGGTGAAGGGCCTTGAGGGAAAGCCATATGAGGGAGGAGCAGCTGAGGTCACTTGGTGTGTTCAGCCTAGAGAAGAGGAGACTGAGGGGGGACATCATTGCAACTTCCTCGTGAGGGGAAGAGAAGGGCGAGCACTGATCTCTTCTCCTTCCAGTGA